CACCTTGGTCACCCCCAAGACATGACATTATTAAGTGTAACCTCCCCACTCACGAGTTACACCTAATATGCCCCAATATCAATGGTTGATCATACGTACCCGCATTTTCTTGGAGTGACCGCCGCGGCCCGTGGATAAACCAGCCCGGTGTTACCATCCGGTTTTGCAAAATCACTCACTTTTCTCCAGAAATGTGTGCGCGCCATCCGAATAATTTCCAGAGCACAGCCCGCACGTTTGTATGGTCTGCACCATGCGCTTGTCTGAGGAATATCTGTCCCCGGTCAAGGCATGGTATCCTTGTGAAGCTTCGGGGTACACCTCGCGTTTTCCCCCAGTGGTTTCCCAGGTCGTACCACTCGTAAGTTCGGTCGGACCATTCGGTCCCAAATACACCAGGATCGTTCCGACGGCCTTCTTCATATGTCCCAACGCATAGTTGTATCCACTGCGGATGCCCGGTCCGGACTGGCGAACCTCGCCCGCTACCCGGTGAAGTTTGGTGTTACCATCGCAGGATGCGACCATGTCGGTCTTACCAACGATGACATATCGTAGCGACCGAAGGTCTTACCTTCCATCGTCTTCGGTACCACCGGCAGGAGTGCACTGGTGCGACCGCGTTTTGACTGATGGTACCACCAGCAGTTGAGAAGCCGCCAATGGTCCGACCACACTGCGGCACGGTCCTACCTGTCGGATAGGTGGTCGCACCATGTCCCGAGTTGTGGTAAGACCTACCGGTGGATTGGTGTTACCATTGCGACCGCAGGTTGCAGGTGGTCGCACCATTCTGCTCGCCATGGTAAGACCTACCGGCGTTCCTTAGGACTGGGGGTAGGACCCAGCTGACACGCCGGTAACACCATAATGTAGCCCTGGTCGTACCCAATCCGGCGGTGCGACCGGATGATGCTATGGTTGCCCCACATCGCTTGGTTGCACCAGACTGTCCCCCGCAGGTAGCACCAACGCAGCTGGTCAGACCCGCAACATCGCTGGTGCTACCCGTCCGCTGAACCCTCCAGTGGTGGCACCAGACTGTCCCCCGCAGGTAGCACCAACGCAGCTGGTCCGACCCGCACCATCACTGGTGCTACCTGTCTGCTCAACCCTCAAGAGCAACGGCGGCGGTGGAACCGCGCATCTTTGTGGATGTACCGGCCATTGCGGCGGTCCGAGCTTACAGTCCGAGCTTGTACTCATTGGCAGCAGATATTTCAATCATGTCATATTTGTGCTACGATTCCACGTCCTGAGTGCCTGGCATTACTAACCATGTTCAAGTGCTCCTTCCATCCATCACAGACTTAGGCTGTCCGGCTTTCAACTTACATCGTGCTAACGAACGGAATCTATGCCTCCTCACAACCATTTACAACTCCTCCTGCCTGCGTATGATTCCAAATATATGGCGAAACATACAAAACAACTGACAATTCCAGATGAACGCCGCCCATGCCAACCTACTATGCATCTAATACTGTCCGCTCATCTCAAGTCTTTTGCTGGTCCCGGCTTTGATCTTGGCTTAACGATCGGCGGCTCGTCATCGTCCATTTGCTCCTCCTCTCGAGCGGCCCTTTTGACAGGGCGCGGCTTTGGTCTGGGCTTGATAGGTGGCGGCTCATCATCGTCCGTTTGCACCTCCTCTCGGGTCTTCTTGACGGGGCGCGGCTTTGGTCTTGGCTGGACAGGCGGCGGCTCGTCCTCGTCCGTTTGTTCCAGGGCGCCCAGATATCGTGATGGGCCCGCAGCCGGTGGTGGGCTAAGCGTGCGATGATGCACGGGTCTCGACGACCCCGATGCCCGCGATCGCGAGGTGGGTTCCATATTGCCGTTGCGCCCTCCCGATATCGTGCGCGACTGGGGTCTCGCCTTGACGGGCGGCATTTCATCCTCGCTCATGGGCTCCGGCGCGCCTTGAAATCGTCGTGGCCCTCCCGAGGTCGTATGCGGCTTTGGTCTCGCCTTGGCAGGCGGCGGCTCGTCATCGTCTGCTTGCACCTCCTCTCGGGGCCTTTTGACTGGGCGCGGCTGTGGTC